TCACACACCCCACGTAGAAGCATTTCACGTAAGCGATCTGTCTCTAGACCACGAGAGACAGATAACCCCGACTGGTGCTGGTATCATAACCAGTATGGAAAGTCTTCCAGAAATTGTATAAAACCCTGCATTTTCCAAACACGAAACCGAATGACTCGAAAAACAACTCGGGAAACTCCCAAGCCCGCACGCGTTAACGGCAACCGTAGCCGGCGAACATAGCCGTCTGTTATACGTCACAGATGTGACAACGAGAGTTCGCTACCTCGTCGACACTGGCGCAGAAGTTAGCGTTCTCCCAGCGAATCCCAACGACCGACTTCACGAATCGGCTTTAAACTTACTGGGGGCAAACGGTAAACGTATCACTACGTATGGCAAAAGGTACGTCTGCCTTAACGTGGGTTTACGCAAACCCATTCACTGGGTCTTCGTTGTTGCAGATGTTTCTATGCCAATCATTGGTATGGATCTTCTACAACACCATAATCTAATCATCGATACGCGCAATCGGAGGCTAGTAGACGGAAATACCAATTTATCTGTTTGCGTAGCTTCTTTTTCCGGTTGCAAATTATTCCCAGTCACAAGTAAGCATACGATAGACCCACTTTATCAACCACTACTCGATAAGTATCCTGGGATTCATCAAATGCAACCGAAACTACCGTGTGTAACTAGCAACGTTACACACCACATCACGACTACAGGACCACCTGTATCCTCTAAAGCACGACGACTAGCCTCTGAAAAGTTAAGGTTGGCGAAAAACGAGTTCGATCACATGATAGACTTAGGAATCATGCGACCGTCAAATAGCCCATATGCATCTCCGTTGCACATGGTCCCTAAAAATGACAACAACGATTGGCATACAACTGGCGACTATCGGCGACTGAATGCAAAAACCATTTCCGATCGTTACCCGTTGCCTCACATTCACGACTTGACAGCTACCTTGAAAGGTACAACTGTCTTTTCGAAAATCAACTTGGTTAAAGCGTATAACCAAATTCCCATGGGCACTGACGACATACCGAAAACCGCCATCATTACTCCCTTCGGACTCTATGATTTTTTGCGAATGCCTTTCGGTGTAAGAAACGCTGCTCAAACATTCCAAAAATTCATAGACGACGTTTTTCGAGGTCTCAACTTCGTACATGCGTATGTTGATGACTGCCCAGACAGAGAATCACATCTCAAGCATCTGGATCTTGTTTTCGAACGACTACAAAAACATGGCATTATTGTAAACGTTCAGAAATGCCAATTCCGAACCGACTCGTTAGACTTCCAAGGACACTCTATAGATGCTCAAGGCATTCGACCCCATAGGATCAAAGTGGCGGCAAATGTGGATTACCCAGAACCGACCACGATCAAGCAACTACGAACGTTTAACGGCCTTGCAAGTTTCTATAGACGATTCATACCGAAATGCTCATTACTTATGAAACCTCTTACCGACCAACTTCGTGGAAATGCGAAATCCATTAATTTGGACGACAACGCACGAAAAGCATTCTCCACAATTAAGGAACATATCGCTAAAGCAACAATGCTTGCACATCAGGACACCGAAGCACCCATTAGTATCGCAGTAGACGCATCCGACTCAGCAATCGGAGGAGTCGTACAACAGTGGGTTGACAACTCCTGGCAACCATTGGCATTTTTCTCTAGATGGTTGCTAGACACCGAATCGAGGTACAGCACATTCGGTAGGGAACTCCTAGCTATGTATTGTGCTGTACGACATTTTCAACATTATATCGAAGGTCGCGAATTCACTCTTTTCACTGACCATAAACCACTCACCTTCTCTCTAAGCTCTACTTTAGACAAGTACTCTCCCCGTGAGTCTCGACAACTGGACTACATTTCGCAGTTTACTTCAGATATTCAACATATTTCTGGAGCAAACAATGTAGTTGCAGACGCTTTGTCTCGCATAACTTCCTTGAACAGTTTCCAAGGAATCGACCTTCTTAAACTCGCCCAGCTTCAAAAAGAAGACACTGATCTTCAGCACGAGTTATCGTCTACAACCCTCAAGTTAAGTACCAAACAGATGGGAACAGGTAAGGAAACCTTTCTTTGTGACACATCTACAGGTAGGGATCGCCCAATCGTGCCGAAACATTATCGACGCAATGTCTTCAATACATTGCACAAACTTTCTCATCCAGGTGTTCGTGCAACCATCAAGCTTATAGCAGAACGGTTTTGCTGGGTTGGCATGAATAAAGACGTGAGGGAGTGGGCACGCTCCTGTGTGAGCTGCCAAAATTCTAAGGTTATCAGACACAATAAATGTCCCTTAGGCTCATTTAAGACTCCCGATGCTCGTTTCGACCATGTTCATTTGGATTTGGTAGGACCTTTACCAGATTCAAATGGGTACTCTTATCTCTTAACCTGCGTAGACCGTTTCACTCGATGGCCAGAAGCAGTACCTATCAAGGACATCACTGCTGAAACAGTGGCCCGCACCTTCGTCGAACGATGGGTAGCAAACTTCGGCTGCCCTTCAACCATCACCACAGACCGCGGACGTCAGTTTGAATCTGAACTTTTCCGTCGCCTGACCACACTTTTAGGAATCACTCGCTTCCGAACGACCGCCTACCATCCACAAGCCAACGGGTTGGTAGAACGTTTTCACCGACAACTGAAAGCTTCACTATCAGCTTCAAAAGTTTCACAGTGGATGGACGCTCTTCCACTCGTCTTACTAGGTATCCGCAATGCAGTGAAAGCTGACATCGGATACACTGCTGTTCAACTCGTTTATGGAACAACAATTCGACTTCCAGGAGAATTCGTGGATCCTTCATCCTCTTCAATGAACATGGATCTAACCTCCTACACGAACAGGCTTACAAACGCAATGCGTTCAGTTAAACCTGCTTCCACTGGATCACAATCAACCGATGTTTTCGTTCAACCTGACTTACGATATAGTACACACGTTTTCGTTCGTCGAGACTCGCATCGACGACCGTTCGAATCAGTATACGATGGATTTTTCAAAGTTCTTCAACGTGAATCTAAGTACTATATAGTCGATAAGAACGGAACAAACGATAGCATCAGCATCGATCGCCTCAAAGCAGCGTATTTAGGAGGAACTCCTATTCACGTCCATTTCCCTTCGGTACAATCGCACAACACGACTGCTACGCTTATAATACCCCAACCGACAACCAACACTAGCGATGACACTCTGAATGTGTCTGAAAATAAACTTAAAACGACGCGTTCTGGAAGAAGGGTGAGATTTCCAGAACATTTAAACGACTACTGCACGTAAGGCACTACTCGACATTTTATATTATCTCGATTTTTCTTTTTACGATATATAATATCTAAAAAAAAACAATTTTATTATGCTTATATATTTATATTTTTATTTTTAAAAAAAACATAAAATTTCCTTTTTAACGCTGTCACATGTGCTTGAGTTTATTTTCCATTTTTTCTCTGACGTTGTGTATTTACGCACATACGAGTGTATTTCGGTATGCACTTACACTTTCTTTTTTCTTTTTCAGGACGGCTGGAAAAGAACGATGAATTTTACGAGGAGCCGAAATTTTCATTGTACTTTTTTCTTTTATTACTATGTTGTACCTCGGTCCAATATAGTAAGGAAAAACGACCAGACGCTGCTAAACCTAGAAAGCTATCAGAAGAGTGTTTACCAACGACAAACTCGCTGGGTTTAAACTTCTGGCTGGCCACGTCTTAGGGTCATCACTAACCCACTAGGGGAGGAGTGATCTGTAGCGGTAAATAAATCCCCAAAATAAATAGCACTGTAAGTTTTCGACATTGGATGCTGACCAGATAAGTTTTAGTGGACTCACCTAGCTGAAGGCGCTCGGTCATGCATCCACATCAGATCACGTGTGGTAACGCTGTGCTCAACATCTACCGCAGTCGCTAGCCCGATTAGATCAGAGAATTCTGATATATTGGTAATCGCCAAATACACTCTTCCGATCTCCTCGACTCTGTCTTTTGATTTCTCTCGGTGGGTACAAATTATATTAGAAGGTGTTGCTGGTAAAAGCGTTGTCAAACACTGAATATCTGTGCCATGTTCAAGTACATTTAGATATTTGGTAGGGACTAGAATGTTATTGTTCGTGAAAATCTTGTACATGAGCTCATTCAACTCTATGATTTCCCAAAACATGCCTTTCATCGATGGCGATAGGTTTTCGCGACATTCGGTAACTCTCGTTCTACCGATAGAAGAAACTAGACTGGTTGTGAATATTTCTTCGTCCTAAACTCTGATGAAAACAGTAGAGCGCGATGTTATCCCTACAAACACACAAAGCTTTTCAACATCAAATATAAAGTAATAGGAAATATAATACCTATACAAAATGGGGGAGTAAATGAACACTTGAGCCTTAATGTTCTGGTATTTACCAAGATGTTTGTTGTCAACTCTTAACCAATCAACCTAGGTTGTTGCAAGGTCTACTGTTTTTCGCGTGCAAAGTGAACACTGCTTCCATTTTGTTGTAGATCATGATCCTAATAAATGCTCAGTTTCTCCCGACCATCGATGATGTGACAAACATTTGTCAAAGCATTAGTGATGTAAAACAGGCAAAAGCTTTCCATGATCATTCCTCAAATGTGTGTACATAAAGCAATCAGAGTTACGTCGTTTTAGGGCAAAGCTAAACAGAATCGTTATGGTACATCCGTTCAGACCGCGTTCTAATGACCTTGAAATTTCGAGCAATTGAACTGGTGGATCTGACTCTGAGTGATCTCAGAAAGAGAGAGATATTTGATTTAGCATATTATTTTCGAAAACACTACTCTTTCAGATAGGATATTAGAAACTTATTGTGAGCATTTTACAAACAATATGACATATATGGATAGTTAATGGAATAGTTCATGAAAAACCTATCTTAATTTTGAAAACACTTTTCTTCTGTATTTTGTTTTAATATTTAGTGGATGTCATTGACAAATATAAAACGTTGTTACAGGTATTCGTGGTACCATTTCTGACACGAACTACAAATGTCATGTCGTCGTAGAAGTCATACAACTCCGGGTTATTTACAACCTAGAACTTTGGATGATCGGATTAGGGTGGGTCGTTTTGAACATGACTCTTTTTTTATTCAGTGTTGCCATAAACAAGTATCACTGACCTATATTATCGTTATTATCATCAGAGCTTTTGTTATCTATTGTTGGTGAGACCCTTATTTAACTTACTTTCAAATATGTACGAGCAAGTTGAACGTATACAAGGCCCCTCACGTAGTGAAATAGTGGTACACAACTGAAGTTAACCTAAAGGGAGTGGCTGCTCATATCCAACACTCAAGTTTCGGGTAAACGAACCCTGTTTATAAAGTAAAAATGTCTCAGCATCGATATGGATAACAGCTGGACGTATAGAAAGTAGGGGTTGAAAACCTTCGGTTGCTGCCGCACAGCAGTAGCCATTGACTTTCTGGACAACAGGTAGCTCAATGTTATTCACTGCATATATATCTGCACTTTGGTGACTAGTATACATCACAATGCAATTGAGAGCATTTATGGCAACTACTGAAGTCTAGATCATTGAGATAAGTTGTCCAGATCACTGTAAAGCTCTAAACTATCATCTTCGTTTTTCATCGCTCTCCATATCCTGACATCGTCAATATATAACAAGGCCAATGATAATAGGAAACTAGAAGGATCAATTGCATGCAGGAAGAAAAACACTGGTCCCAAAACTGTATGCTGAAGCACTCCGCTAAGTACAGTTTCTGAGCTAGTCAAATTTGAATTCACTCGTACTCCTTGTTGACGCACAAGTATGAAGTTTTTTATCTGCATTAATAGATAGCCTCCAACCCCGGCATTTTCTAACTTATATAACGGTCGGTTATAAGTAAATTTATCAAAAGCCGTGATAAAGTCGTTGTAGGCTACATCTTTAGGTAAATTTTGATTAGAAGATTGCACCGATTTTCACGGACTGCCAATAAGTTAGTAAGGCATAAATAGCCTGTTTCAAGACCCAGTTGTCATCGAGATACTTAAACAACTTTTTCTGAATGATCTTTTTTAAAACTCAAACGTTCAAGCTGCCTAAGCGTACGTGTCGATAGTTATTAGATTTGTGTCTCGTACCTGTTTTGAAGATAGGACTTACTATGGGGTTCTTCCAGTCTTTTAGTAGTCTTCCTTGGGTTTTTGATAGATCCAAACATGTACTTAACGGCTTTGGAATACAACTTTCTAGTTTTTTTGGTAACCAGAATGCAATTTATGGGGTCCTATGGATTGGCCTATATCAGGCTCATTTAGCAGACTGAAGACATCGAGTTCCTTAATGATTAAAGTTTGTCGGACTTCTTGGTGTGGTCCCAGGTATGTACGAACAGTAACTTTCGTGCACGAATTTCTGAATACTCTCCAAGTCCTTTCAGAGGGGGATTATTTTTACATTGCCGAGTCTGCTCAAGATGCTGAGTGTATAATTTTCTGCATATTTGCTTTCCAAACGTTCGGTCTGGCTTAAGCTAACAAATCGTTATTGATAACGACATGGGAATTGAAGACTAGAGATGCATGGTCACTTTTACCTATGGGTGGCTTTGTGACGTTATCTTCACAACGGGTCAATATGAGATCTAGTAAACATGAGTTGGAGTTCGAATCCTACCTAGTTGCTTCTTCCACATGATGTGCTTTGGGTATACGTGATAACCGCATCAACTAGTTTCTTTTCGAAAGAATTTCTGACACCTCAGTCCTCAGATTTTTCTAGTCTACCGTAGGTGCACTAAAGTCTCCTAAGATCAAATGTCGGTTACCTGAAAATCATGTGTTGGAACGGTCTAGAGAAACTTCTTTTACCTTAATCTGGATTGCAGTAGACCAAACCAATCATCAGCTCTTGTCTTTTGTATTTCAAGCTGCGACTAACAAGGTCGCACGTTCCACTTTTATGGGGCATGTTATCCGTAACGGTATATGGGATAGCATTTCTAGTGAATAAAGTCAATTTTCCTCGTTTACACCTCTGAGTTTACTGAATCAGGCTCTCAGACAATTCAGAAGTAATGAATGTTATGTCAACACTATCAAATTATCAACCGCATGTCCTGTAATCACGTGGTTGCTCCTGTTGATTTAAAAATCAAGCAGTTGAAACTTAAGTTATACAACCTAATCCAGTATTTACTTATTCTAGTCTCTGGCTGCATGGATCGCAGTATGTTTAAAAGTTACCCCAGTGTTTTCATTTTCGGATAACTTTTGCCGTATTTATATGCTGGTCATGCTATATTTTTATGTTATGGGGAGTTATGCTCCAAAGTTGGCTTGATTCGCCATGCAAATTAAAAACCTTTAAGATATATCTTCCATTTCACATGTTGTACGGCATCGTTTGTACATATCACAGCTTAGAGACTTGATCCTTACTTATCTGAATGTTTTTAATGTAATTTACGGCGAGTGGCTACTTTGATACCGACGGAAAATAACTAAATGTGTTGTATATTATCAGGGACATTGATTCTGGCTCTCAAATTTTTTAAGACTCAAATTTTCCATCTTATTTTATCTAAATTTAGAATGTTTTGGTTTACGTCTGCTGATTAAAAGATGAATTTATTTAAGATCTGGTCTTTGCTGCCAGAAGTCACAACAGTTGATCATATTGAAACTGAGGGACTTTAGGCAGCGTGTGGATTCAATGCGGCATGTTAGAAAATGTTATTTTATGATAAAAACATAAATCGTTGTGCTATAAACATAATTTTGAACTGCCTAACAAAATATGAAGGCAAATAAAGTTCATTAATCGCTGAGATATTTGTTACCGACCATAAGAATATGTATATGGCTCAGTGTCAAAATTGTTGTTTCGTGCTGATACACAACTTTAAGCTCAACTTAAAAAGCCAAACCATCTCTCTTTATGTGAGCCATTGTACAGGTTTATTAAAAGGATGAAGTTTCGTTCTATATAAATAGTGCAGCTCTTTGTAATGAAACATTCACGTTTAGCAATTATTTCGTTAATTAACGTAGGATCCCAGAAAATGTACTTTGATTTAGGCTTATTATGGCTCTTATACAATGCTGTCTCTTTTGTTTACCTCTCTGCTTGTAACAGTCAAAAATAGTAATTTATTAAAATTCAACCTAGAATTATCGTTTTGAGTACCATCAAATGACATCAACCAGACAATTATTTGCTCTGCTCAATAATAAAAAGGTTAATCAAGACCTGAGAAAGTTCTAAATAAATGATGAGATGCGTGTATACTCCTTGATGAAAATAATGTGTCTACATATTTATATCGGTTGACAGGCAACCGTTTCTTAAGAAGATGTGTTACAAGCGTCACAGCTCTAAAGATGCAGGGAGGTACATGTCTCTCTTAGAATTCGTAAAGCAACGTTATTTATCGAGTATGTTGTTCAGCCTCATTAAAATGTCAAAAAACAAGGAATATCTGGAATCTGACTGATATTGAGCTTTTAGGCACGTGATATTCAGCATAATACTTGTGATTGAACAATGTAAAACTGTAAGCTATGTTAGACCTGTTATGGTCTATTTATGTCATCCCATTTATGCATCACAACTGCAGTAATTATTTCGTGAGAGTTCCAAACGTTTCATAGAAAAGTTAACAGTTCTTTGATTGGGTGATATTTATTAAACGTCCACTTTAATGGTGACCAAGCTACTTTTATTAATTATAAAACTTCCCACAGTTATGTTTTCAGACTGAATTCCTTCATCGAAATACTTTATGGTGTAATCATGATAAACAAACAAATAGTCCAACAAATTTTTATGTAGTCACATAAATGGTAAGAGCAATTCGCACTTAGTAAATCTGAATTTGTTTTGCACCGATGTCCTTATATTTGAACTTTAGAGAATTAAAAGTATGTATATAAATCTATTCATTCAGTGCTAAATTTGATTTTATATTATAGGACGACTATCGCTATAATTATCGAGGATCAAGGTACTCAAGGTACGTTTTTTTTCAGCATGATCTTAAATGTTTTCAAATAAACAAAATAGCAAAATATTGTAAACAATTGTCACAAATTCCCCTAAATTCCATTTAGAAGGCTAGAATAACAAATATTTATGGCAAATATGTTTCATTTTTCTCATTTAACAGTTTTTTGAGTGCTACTGCTTGATGAAAGTTTCATTTAAGTTATTTAATTTCAGGTTTCACTAGTTGTTTTTACCTCATACATTTTTCTTAGTTTGATATAAAACAATTTCATCCATTTCATTGTAACTCAAGTGCAAACCACATTTATGAAAACTTAATCACATAACGTAAAACGCGATTATTGGATGTAAGATATTTCTATTTCGGTACATTTGTTATGAAATACTCAGTATTTTAATCTAAACATTAAAAACCGCGAAAATCTGGGTGATTTTATTTATTATTTAATATAAATTTATGATTTCGTAATCGTGTTATCGTTTATTTTTTTAAAACACTCTTAAAGGCGCTATCAACCAAATTATGACGACTTCTACGCACGTCCGCCTTCTGTATATCAGCCTGTAGAACCCTATTATCCTAGGTGAGTATACCATTTCAGCGTATCGATATGAATTCATCGACATACAGGAATGTTTTCGACGTTTCGCTTAAAGTATCGGTATCTGTAAACAAAGTACATTTCTGTATTCATGGGATAACATATAACATAGATTTACTAATGTTCTGTGTCTATTCATCTATTGCTCAGGAGTCTTATACAACGATCTATCTGTTTAGGGCTGTACAGTCTAGAACCTATAAATTTACTTCCATGGTGTTTACTAAATACGTAAAAAATTCTAAAAACCCGTTTTAACCAAAAACGTCTATCTCTGGAAAATTGTACAGAAAACACGATACGAAGAGCAGACGTTTCACTTTGCTCAAAAACATCCTTTTATCTTGAGAGATATTCTATCTTCTTGCTTGATTGAAACTTTTGAGATGGCTGTCCAACAGCTACTAGAAAAAATTAAATAAAGTGTTTCGCGGAATTTGTGAACGGAATTCTCTAAATTTATAAGACATAAATGCTACGATTAATGTTTTGTTGGTAAAAATCACATTGGTTTTTTCTGTTTGCATGTGGTGTTACTAAATGTTAACCGGACACCATGTTGCAAACAAACTGTTCATAAGTCTATCCAATGTACCATTGCACACGAGGAGGTAGCAGATGGTTATGTTATACCATACTTGAATTGAATAAACCTACATTGTTTTTGAAGTAGAATATTTTAGAAGCCTAGAAACATGTTAGGAGAGATTTACGTACTCATGGATATTAGGATTTTATTCACAAAGTGTATGAGTTGATGACACATATTGAAACCAGAGTGGTAAACTTTTGATAACCTTAACATCGTTTGGGTCATACCAATCTGTAGTTCAGTTACGTTTGAATTATTACTTATTTATTAAAACACCAGAATAATTCTTTTATAAAACCTTAATCAGTAAGTGTTCATCTAGCTCAGTCTTATTGATTGGTTTGAAATATTTGTTATTATCAAGTAGCAAAACTTGTATTCAATTCACATAAAACTTTTCTTTCGAGTGCTTTTCAAGATGTGAAATAGATATACTTCTGTTACATTCTATATGGCTCGATTAATCAGCCCTTTTGTTTGCTAGAAGGCAAGTTTATGGTTCTATTTTTGATTTTCGATAAGAATGGTTATGATTCACTTGAAGTTCTGAAAAACCCAACTTGACTGAAACTGTAAATGTTCATGGATTTTGTGACTGGTGGGCTTTTGGTTGCAGAATTGTTTTGTCTCAAACAAGGCCCTCGGTTGTAAGGGAGTGGAAAAACTGGCACGCAATAAGAAATATAACTAGTGAAACGATTAAAAGCCACCTCCTAAATTAACAAGCAAGATAATTTGGATGAAGTTCAACTTATTAGATTATATACGTTTGTAGATTCTGTAAGTCACATATTCTGTGTATTTTTGATGTAAGTTGATTAGCAGTTAACGCATACGGTAAAACACTCCCGAAAAATCTGTTTGTACCTTAAGTTATGTGTCTCACTTTCTCTGCATTTTAACAGGCCTCGTGAATCCTACTACGTTCGTCCGCCTTCAGTTTATCAACCTACAGAAACACTTTATCCTGGGTGAGTACTTTAGTTCTCGAAACAAGAGGTCATAATAGGAATACACCATTGTTTTGACTAAAACTCACCGATTATCTTGTTTTTTTTCGATTTTGTGCTCTGAGTGAGGTACATCTATTTGTTAACGTAATTAAATTATAATAACCTTTTTAGACCAGGTCCTATCAGTTTGTTGCTATCATTAGTGTTTGAAAGAAAGGAGGGGGGTTAGGGTAAACAGTTACGTAACTAACGTTAGCTTCAAAAGGCTTTAAAAATCTGTCAGGAACTGAAAATGAGCATATGGTTGATCCTTTTAACGAAGAACGGTTCCATTTTAAGAAAAACTATGCATCAATTTTTATGGTTTGATGAATAACTATGTAAACTGGAATAAATATTATGACACATGGCGCCTTTCTAAACACTTAAGCCTGTTGTCAGACAAGCAACTGCATGAAAATTCATTTTGATAAAGAAGAACTAGTTCAAAATGAAGGTCATTACTGTGGCAATTCCATTCTAGAGACTATGTGAAGTAAATTGTGTACAACTTCTACGGTCGTCCATAAGGCGTCCAGTATTCAGACAAACTTCTCGAATATCCCGTAATGATAAAAATGTCGAAATCAAAAGTGGAAAATCTTTCAGTGATTAATATTTGGTGGGTCAAGCAGAATGAAGGTGATCAGTCAACTACACTTTCTACAACTAATTTAACCAACTTATTGAAATTAATCCCTTTCGTTAACGATAGTCATTTTATATGCTCGTTCGGATAATGTAGTTGCTTCAGATGCCCATTACTTAACAAATCGTAGCACTTTAGGGATGCCCCTTTTTTCTAACCAGAAACAAATTCTACAATGAACTGCATGTTCTTTTTTATGTCAGAATTGATATTCTTTGTGTTTTGGTTATAAGAATTTTTAGGATTTCAAAGATTATTTATGAGGCTAAACGTATAATATATGTAGTAAAATTTCTGAAACATTTTATTCATAAACCCTAATACTAAAGGGTGTGGCTTTCATTCTTAAACGTAAAAATCCTTATTTCACAGATGCTGAAGCATTACATCTTGAATTATAAATCAATTTTTCAAAACAGTGTCCTCTTCATAATCTGGTGATAAAAGTTCCACACTTCACTTTTTCTTTTCTGAAGGCCTATGCCAAATAGTTATCAGCGTCATAGTTATGCTCAACCTGTTTCTTATCAGCCTGTTTATCCATCATATCGCGAGTAAGTATTTTGGATTTAATGGTCGTAAAAAATGAAATAATTTAATAAACTAATTTCTGTGGCTTATATTTCTCTTAGTTGGACTGTTTCTAGTGTAGCTTGACTATTAATAGTTTTCATTTCGTTCACGAACCTAAATGAGGCCTGCTATTAGTTGTACTTTTTAAACCTTGCTTTCTTAAATTATCTAACACTTCTGGTTTGTTTGACTGTTTTTAAGGATGCCTGTTATTCAAAAAAATTTACACTTTTAAAACGGAGAAGGTTATAATCTGATGATAAACGAATCCACTGAAGGTGTTACCAAATTTTTTCTTAGCTCCAGAATGATTCTTTCCAGAAGCATAGTTTATTCTGTTATACAAAGGAATAGATGGCACATAAAAATAAACAATGAGGTTAGTTAATAATGAGCAGCGGATTAACATAATACGAGTTTTGAATATCGTTTATTGAAACCGTTTAATTATTTGTGTAGGATCAGAAGTGACTGTTGTTCTTGGTAGAACACTAGTTATTTGGTGTCACTGAATCATAGAAGGTATTACTGTAATCGTGTCTAGTAAATATGTAGTTCCCCAATGGAAGTGAGATTGAATATACTTTGAATAAATCAAAATACATCCAAAACTATATTTTATTTTTAGTGAAACAATAAAGTTGAAGGTGAAAAGCTTGTAATTTATATTTTAGAGGATGGAAACTACATGTTTAATAGAAACAGGGGAGGTCAAACCAAAACAATGACTTTTGACTTAAGTCGTATTGGTATGTACAGGTTACCTAGTTAGGGTCCGCATAATGACGGAGATCATTCGATAGGGAGGAATATCTGGTATTTTGACTTGAAATAAGACACTGTGGTGAAGATACATTTAGTTCTTACTTTAATTTATATTATGACTTCTAATATCCCTTTATTCTCACTTCTTTATTTCGTCCTTTCAAAACCACATTCTCAATGCTCAGTCTCCATAGATATCATTGCTACTACATTTTTTAGATTATTTTCCGATTCCTGTTACTTTCAACTTGGACTAATTCAATTTTGTGGCAGGCTTCACGAGTATTATGAATGACAGACGGACTGAGACTTAAATGATCAGACATCGGTCGCCCTATATTTTTATAAATTAATATTTTAAGATTTATTGGTATTATACTAAGGTGGAGTGAGGTTATGACAATCTTAATTATAACAGCATATTAAAGTTCTCTGGTAGTTTTATCCTCTATCCTTTTTTTATGGATACTTGATACTGACCAAGTTATCAGTTTTATAGTTAAATGTCGTGTAACGTTGAAGATAGAGTGGGTGATTACCCGTCATATAGTGGGATCTTTGACTGTCGTATACTTCTTGTAAGGAGATTCTGTGTTTGTGTTTATATTTATTAATACAATAGAATTTTCGTAATTGAATGCTCTAAATGTAGCACTGTATGACTATTATCACAAATCTTTTAGAGATGTGTACGCTCCAAGCACCTATTCGTCGTATCCACGCCGTCGTTCAATGTCTAACAATCCTCTGATAGATCCTGAGTGAGTTGTTTATTTGAGAATATTATGATCTTATAAACCATTTATATGCGCTCTCTTTGGACACAATTTAATTGGTAAACACATTGCTGTACTTTTTAACTAAATAGGCTAACTTCGGAAAGCTACTCGATAGTTTGTCTTTCAAAACAGTGTATTCTATGCGTTAAGGTCAGTTACCAGTTCTATTACTGTCAGTGTTTTGAGTTGACTGTGAATGTGCGTTTTATGCGATTCTTGAGGTACTAACTGTTAATGATTGGATTTTCACTTAAAATGTTGACAATCTTCAGAAGTCTTTGATCAGTTGACGAGCACTTATTGTTAAAATTCTGTGGATGAGTTATGGTGTTCAAAATATGATTTATCTTCACAAAGTTTTTATCCGACTATCGGGGTGCCCTAAATAGACTATTTTAAGCCGAATGGATACTGGGATGGATCGTGTGATTACTTTTTAGTTTCTAAATGTTTCATTTATGGAAATGTTAAGCTGGCTATGGAGGAGTCATTTAAATATTAAAATATTTGACTTGTAACTTATGGTTTAAAATTCCTTATATAAAGTGTACAACCTTTTTTTGTAGAGATCAGAAATTGTTTTCCAAAGATAGTATCATATCTAGACAAAAATAAGACCTAGTGTCTTTTGATGCTGTTAAGTTTTTATTGCCGAAAAAGTCGACTAAATTTTGTAGATGCACCTCTGTGATTTTAAATATAGCCACTTTTCGGGAAGTGTGAATTCGATTATTTAACTGATGTTTGTTACTTAGGTCAATTCCTAATAATTTAATTATTTAGCAGTCCGAATCAGATTGTTAATGTAGTGCAAATGTATTTTCATATTCTTTTTATCGTTTAATACAGCCTCCGGTATGTAATTATATCCAACAATCTGTTATGGAGTCCCATAGGAATGCATTTGAAAATGTGGTGATGATGCCTAGTCCCCTTATCGTTCTAAACTTCGTCAACAAAAATATTTGGATAGAAACAATTCTTTGATAGATGGGACTAAATCTCTACAGTTTTCATAGTGTTTTAATCTGAGGAAGCGCACAGAATATAAAATAGGGAGATAATTACTAAATTTATCACATCTGTACCAAGAATGGCATAGGGTTGTTATTTGATTGTTTGATCCGAAATGAACTCATAAAATTGGACCTTTATGATATTTGTATTTTTGCGTTTTGTATTTTTCCATCTCAAAATCTAAATAGCACGATTTCCAATAATGGCAATACACTTTCATATTCTCCGCGTACATACCCAAGGGTTCAGATTTACCATACGTAAGCGAATTTACATTTCTGTTCTTAACATACTTTTATCTAGAAGAACAGTTTTATACAAGACAGAATCTTCTATAATACATAAACCAATTCTAGCCAAATGTAATAGTTGGTTTTTAAAGTCGTGGTTACAGCGGTAATGTATGTGGATTTCTTATCACACTTAAGTCACTGATAAAATACTTGGGTTATGCAAATATGGAGCTTGACAAGCTTATTTATTGCTTAATTTTATATTCATCGAAACTTCGGTGAAAGTATCTCGCTTAAACATTCCAGGCTATATAGAACTTATTGTGATTGTACAAAATGACACGTGATTAAAGTCAATTAAGACTCATATTTCTCTTATGAAATTGCTATCCTGCAGAAGTGAGGGACTAGAATACTGATGAAGGCTTTTTAGTGTTACTTACTATGTGAAAGAATAGATTCTGTTGTTCATGTCAAGCATATTGAAATCAATATAAAAGTTAATATACAAATTCCTTAACCATAGATTTAGCTTCTTACCACCATAATGTTGTGAACTAAATTAATAGTTTCATAAGACAATAGAACAAACTGGAACAGAAACTCAATGGTTTTACAAACGAAATAAAATTAGGAAAGAAGTCTGTTAGTGATCTCTATAAATTGTAGTACTATATAGTTCTAGTTTGCTCTTTAGTAAACATCAAACATTACTGGGTAGTTGACTGGTGTTTTTTTATGAAATATGAATTATAATCCTTTTTTCTTACTCGTATTATGCCTTGTGATCGTCGTCAGTTCTAGTTTAAAACCCCATACTTAAGTTATTTTCTACAAGTATTTCTAGAGATTCTTAAAATAATTGTTCCAAAGGAATGTTTGTAATTTCATATTGACTATAAAAATGTAGTCTGGCAAATGTAATAATACCTTGCTTAAAATAGTCTACAAACTCTTATTACTATCAAAAAATAAAGAAACTTAAAGAGGAATTACAATTCAATTCATGTAGCCTATCGAATATCCCTTTATTAATACAAAACATTTACTACTATGAACTAATGTGTCTTCGATCTACCTATTTATCCTTTCAAGTGCAGCTTTCACTTCTCATAAGCATACATATAAAAACCATATGATTCTTTTTGATTTGTTTTCATTTAGTTTGTGAAATAAACACATTAAACAAAGATTAAAATAATTAATCTTGTCCATGAGACAATTTTAACTGACTGAAAATCATCAGCTAACATATGGGATGTCTTAGTTGTCATGTATCTAGAGACTTCATGAGTCAAAAGTGTCATTTTTAAAATTTCATTTTCATCTGATGGAACACATTTACTATATCAAAGATATACTTGTTTAACAATACCGAATAGCATACATTTTTAAAAGATTAAGGCCATCGTAGAGAACTTTTTTGTACTTGATGGATGAACAGTTAAGGGTGACTCAATTAATAACCATTCTACTTATTTTAAACTTGACTGTTTGGATTTAACATGACTGGGCAAGCTATTGCTCAAAATATCATTTCAAAGGGTCTATTTTAAGATTATTTTAGAAAAACGTAAGATTACATATTGAAATCTTAGAAGATATTAAATTATTTATATTGTATAGATTGGTCTTCATTGATTAGAATATATTCTAATTAGTCAGACAATTATGTTCCTGTTATTGACTGGTTTCAGTTATTAAGAATGCTTAGTTATAACATTTCGACAAAGTGACATGGTTAACACTTGGTTGTGTGGGAAAATGTTGGTTTCACTAACAAATTATACATGTCCGTATGTGTTGTATCGTGTATTACTAGATCTTTACTAGAATATTTTTATACGCCTTGGTTATTTGATTTTCTCATGAAAAAGCGCGATATTTGATACTAATAAGTAGTTTTCTGCCTACTTATCTAAATCTAAAGAAGATCAGACAAACTGGCTGAAACATGCAATATAAACAATTTTTTTGTAAAGGCTTTTTCATTTCATTTAATTTTTTTTAACGTTTGCAGAAGGAATACAAACGATGGGTACTATTAATAAAGAGGATACACATCTTCTGGTTTCTGTTTAAACCATGTTGAGTTTTGGTGAGCGTTATTTAAATCAACTGTTAAAACCAGAGAAAAATTATTGTTTCATAGTTAAATATTCACAAATTAGTTGATCAAATGTTTTGTAGATCTCACTATTGGAAGGTTCAAAACACTGAAACAATCCACATACCATTTGTTAATATTGCCATTATTTTAAGACATAAGTTTTCGTTTTCTCAGTTAGCATAAAAACGTTATCGCGAACATTTGTTCAGTCAACATTTCTGAACATTATCGACTGAATACAGTTAAAATAAAAGCCATGAAACAACTAGATGTCTAACATGTATGAATGTTTCGTTCTATTGAAGGAATGGAGAAAACTGAAATTTATGTCGTTGTTGTTAATCTGTTTACCTGGTGAACGGACGAAAACTTTACTGCTTAACTTTCATTTCTACTAATGCTCTTAAACAATCATCATATAAATGTGTTTATGTGTCCTGAAAAATTAAATATTTGGGAAGTATATTTAAATCATGTACATTTCAGATCCTTCTGTTGAAAATGAACCATTACGATCTAAAAATAAAAGTAAATTAAGTATAATCGGTACTCAGACTGGAAATTGAGTTGTGTAAAACAATTTATACAAATTCAGGGATAAAAATTATTCTAAAAGAATTGATATGTTCAAAGTTATGCTTAGTTCTAGCAATTAAATGTTTACTTTACTCTTTTATTGATGCACAATTACTCCATAAGTTTTTAATCTTCAGAATGTTTTGAAGAGTAAGTATTATTCTATATACAACATATTTTATTCGGGAATTAACAGAATATTTTATAATTAAATCATATATTTTTTTGACAAAATGAGCAATTTAATGTTAATTTATGGTACGTTTAGAGAAAGTTGAATACCCATTAAATTATTGTTCAAATGAAAAACGTGTCATATAGTGAACACTTCATTCTCTATTAATCTCTGTTTTTTCTTCATTTTTAATAATGCCTACTTAGTATACTGTAATAAGATAACAACCAAACTAGATTGATAAATTCAATGGATGTTGAAATCTTGATTTTAAGTTATGATGAGACATCTAAATAGTGAAAATTCCCATTTTGACATTTTATAAATAAAGAAGGAACGAATTGGGCGAAGAAATTTCTTTTCAAAGAAACATCTAAATGGGCTTGAGAGGAAGACATTTCAATTCAAAAAATATATTTTTACACTAGGAACGATTCTTGATATGATCGAATCATATTTTCATTCGTTTGCTCCTACTAAAGGTTGTACTCATGGGTGTTACAAATAGAAGTACTTATTTCGAATAAAAATAAGTATTGAAAAAATATTGCAAAAGCTGGATATTGGTATCTGAAAAGATTTATGCAGTGATTATATTCAACAAGTAACTACACGAGGAAATGTGATATATATAATATCGGGTTCAGTCCTTAGTCTAGATATTTAAATACAAAAGCACTCATTCAATTCAAAATAAATAAGTGCAGAAAGTAAACAGAAGATTGATTTCCAAGCTGCTTTTACTTCATCGAGTTATTTTCTATTCAGAAGTGAATTGGATTTCTGTTTAGTTTTATTTATTCACACTCTACACTTAAGAGACAGAAAAACGCAGCCTGATAGAAATCTGTCAGTTGTTTTTATGATTTCTATTATATATGTAGACAATCGATTGACCCCAAATATGTTTCTTTTTTGATCTTGGTTCTTGACGAGATGGATGACAAATGTTAGTGCTTATTTATTCCTTCGTTCTAAATTGTGCTTTAATACTACAGTCAGGTACTAAACCATTGCGTGGTTAAATCGAGTTTGAAACACACTTTAATATCTGAACGCTATATCGAAATGTTTACCACATGCTCATTTAGGTGTTCACTTAAAGTAATCTTATATTCCAAAACTAATTATTGTTATCTGATGATACATTATCCATTAAATAACTTTCAAAAGAGAAGAATCCTTAATATTCTTATAAACTTTCGGAGGCGTGTAAAGATGGAAATATTACATAATTTTGATGCCAAAAACTATGAAAAGGATAGTCAAAAACCAATGTATTTTACGGAAAATTTACATTCAGAGAATGGATTGTAAAATGTTTTCACATAGATGTCTTGAAAGTATCTTCTAGATCTAGTGAAAAACTATCACTACATTTTTGGCAACACTTGTAAAGGTCTACGTTGCTTGTTTGAGTATTATCATTGGAGAAATAAGCACATAAAATGTTAAGATGAGGCGATATATATTGAAAATTAATTTTATATTTAAAGTGTTATTTTATTTTTATTAGATTTTGAGGAGGCTATAGACCCAATTAAGATGAATTTTGATCAGTAGTGTAAAAAAGTTGTTCAAAATAAAGAGAAGAAAATGCATAAGAAAACACTATGTTAAATGATTGAGTTATCAGAAGTTAGACACTATAGTAACATATCCAGAATGTATAAAGAAACACTAATACGATTTTTATACTGCTGTGTTAATAATTATTAATTCTGTTTTGGTTATTCAAATTCGAAAGTAAACATAAGATTTATCATTGTGTTAGAATCAAAGTTAATAGATATTTACTATCAATGTTTGATACTTTGAAAATCAGTTAAATAAAACAGGTTTTATGTAAGTGTTACCTAAATAATATAGAATGTAGTAGTCATGAGATAATTGTCATAAACAAAAGGTTCCGTAACAATATTTTTCCCATATTTTTGTACTAAGAAACAGTAAATATTTCTCAAAATACTTATCTGAAGAAATTTTGTAAGCATTATTATTCTATATATATTTATATAATTATTCTTTTTAAATCATAATTACTTTTTATGGAATTTATAACTATAATATAATCACTTTCTTTTAGATTAAGAAATATATCACGAGATGCTTTGATCATACTCTGAACATAAACCTTTTTGAATAATGTATAATTAAAAATGAGCTTATAAGCAAGAATTTTAAAATTTCTTTATATTTAAATACATTTTTTTGACATCTTTTCTTTCTTTCTTTTTTTTGAATTTGTTATATAATCATATGAAGATGAATACATGAACTGTTGTTTTAATGAAAAGATGTAACATAAATATTTATGTTCATCATCTAGGCAACTAACTATTAATGTTAACTTGAATAAAGAATGAAAATTTAAAGGATTTTTTTTTAATAAAGAACTATCGTATGTTTACTGTTAAATAATGAATTAATTCCAATAAAATATTTAAGAAATTAAATTATTTTGTTTGTCAGTATTAATTTATTCTCATGTGATAAGAGTAACATCTATTGTATTATACGTACAATAATTATTTCTAGATACATTGAATTATAAATACTTAAAACTCTGCAACTAAATACTTTAGGATAATTAAAGGCCTAATAATTAAATTCTGTTGTTCAGAGTACAGTTCAAATATCGCTTATTGATTACCTAGGTAAATATACTAAGTTCAGTGGTAATGAAATGACCAGTATATAAGAACAGTGAAAAAGGACAGAGATGGGCTATATTTAAAGTTTTATACAATTAGAGTTAGGGGTCAGATGGTTGACAAATAAAATGACAAAAATGTAGAGATGCTGATCATACTTGAGTTTAATTAAAAGTTTATTTTTATGTAAGTGGTTTATTCTGCTCCATGCAATAATTTTCAATGCTTCACTGAGATTAATTAGAGATAAATAGTGTCTTATTTATGTGTATTGGTGTAATAAACGTTGCAACTTTAACGTAGATTGTTTAAACTTGTCAAAAATGTAGTTGGATTTTGACAGGTTGCGGTCAAACTGCACACTGTTAGCCTTGTCAGCGATGAGTAACTAGAAATAAGGCAATTATATTTGTAATACATAATAGTTTAATTGACAATTATTTATAAAATATCATTTACATATTCAGCTAATGAATTAAAACTCTAAAGCAGCACTGAAAATATCATATCTTAGTGGTACATTTTCTTTTTTACACATATTACCATTTGGAGTAAGATTGAGAAATATTTACTTCATGTAGGGGTTTTACTGGTGAAACATTTAGGATGCATTTATTTTCTCTGGAACTTGTGTGCAAAGATTTCAAATAATCTTATAACACTTCATGAGACCAGTGTCTGTTGATGTCATTCATGTCAAAAGGTTCACTATTGCTAATGTAAAGACGATAGAGTTTAGTGACGATGAATGCACATTTGTGCATTATTACCTTTTCCTTTAGTGTTGAACATTATATCAACTTGTTTACATTCAACTCACGCTCGCCCTTTTAATTTTAAACCTTCTCCTTTTTTTCGACTTTAGTTAGCCTTATTGATATATGGCACTGTAGTAAAACGTGATACAATTTCCTGAGGTGTTCCATGTTATGATATAATCTAATAGCTTACACATGTGCAGCTGATGATCACGGAATAATTATTTATTGCAGCCATATGTATATAAATGTCTCCTGAAGTAAATTTTGCATATACAGATTTTACAGCGAGACTATAATTTATGGATGAACTAATCAGATATAAGATAGAGAGTCTTGAATTTCGGTGCGAAATTTATTGACATACATATGGCTATAAATAGCATTTTGTCATTATAGCTGGCGTCGGTTTGTGATGAAAACCCTAACTATAATTCTTAGCCGTAACTTTTAGCCTTTAGTCTCGATTCTAATTTGTCACAGAAACTTATATCCCTCTTTAAACCCTACTAGGTAGGTGGATTTTTTCAAGGTCAATGGCGTCGCTCAAAGATTGTCCATAAATTATTGTCTCACATACTTTACTTACTCATGCACTATGATATAATTGGAGTGAATTTGAGTACGTCTCATTTTCATATTGCTTACTTTAAGTAGTGTGCTTACAATATTTCAGTTACACAATAAGAAAACTTAGTATTAATGTAGTTTATTAAGAGAAGCCTTTTTCACATCCGTAGATTATGCATAAATGTATAGTATCAACTTTTAACCAAAGGAACACAAAACGTTAATAGGAGCTATCTAGGTACATTGTGTAGGGCCAGTGAAATTTCACTAAGACCTAGCCAAATCACTGGCGCTACAATAGATTTTAGAGAAACCGGTTGGTAAAGTGAACTTTAAATAAATACTGAAGATTGCCAGTTTGGTGGATGTTTCAATTTTAGTACCGAGCGTATCAGATAAACAGACATTTTCAATATATAGCCTGGGGTTGCCTTGGCTTATGTTAGCACAAAAAGATGAAATTAATGAGGAGAATACGGAAGAAAGTTGAAATAATGTAGGAAAATTAGTGATTAAAAATACTAAACACTGGGAATAAGGTTCAAAAAGACTGGAAGAGATGTTAACCTGTTGACTAGTACTTTTTACTGATAAACATGCCAATTAAAAGAATTTGTTAATGTTGCAGATATCACGTTATTCACACTCACTGAAATACATAAAATTATATTATGATTGCTTAATAGACAAAACCTTAGTAGTGAAAATTTCATATGCTATGACAACTGTTTATCCGACAATCGTGATTTCTCATTTCCAAATTGCATAATCACCAAGGTGTAAGTACATTTACGAGGATTTCTCAGACATACTATTATATTTGGGAAGTTATGTCATCATTATTACGCACTCAAATATTCACTAATTTTGATATCTTATCCCTTTGCAACTTGTAAATAAAAGTACGAATACCAATCAAATCGATAATTGTTAAAAATCTACGAGTCTGTACTGTCAAATAATTCATATTTATTGATGGATATAAATGAACTTAAGTTGGTTGTGAAAACCATCTCAAACATAATATAATCAGTAAGATGATACGTTATATTAACCCAACTAATGATTATCTTCATCTCAGTGGTGAATACGTCAGAATATCTATAGAAATTATCAATCATAAAATAAGGACTAAACCTTACTTCCGTAGATCTTCCTGCTAATTATTAGGCATGTAAAGTACACCATTTTAATACTGTAGACTATACTGATTTAGTAGATGCTTAGCTATTTATGTAGAAACCATAAAGCAAGTGACAAAAAATAAGGCGAAGCTTATAGAATCACTTTGCTAAAGAGATATATACTGAGATCCCTTCGAAGACGCATTGATATATACAATAAAAATTATATGATTGTCTTATCCACTTACAGAATCGATAAATCTATGTCATAACCGCAACATTCCACTCACAAAAGGTGACGCTCAACCGTGCTTGATGGGTAAACAAGATGACTAAATGTACTGCAACTGTAAAATCTCACTCAATCGTCAAAAGCATTGCCACTGTTTGGAACAAATAATATCCCTCAAAAACAACATTTTTATCATCGGATTTTTAACTAGACTCAGGAATCACATTATGTAGCTGTATCTACCGCTTTTCACTGTGTAGTGTCTTTTCTGTCACTACTTAATGTAGTTGCATCCACGACTACATTCATGAAAGAATTATTCCTACTGTCGTTCACCTATTCTATTCCATGATGCTGAAAAACAGTGTTTTTAGGGCAGTCAGACGGATAATCAAGTGAGTTAAATAGAAAATGAGAATACAGTTCCCGTACTTGGACCGGACCAGTAAAGTGGAGGATGCAGACGGATAAAATGTGAAACAGAATGTCGACGACCAACCGGAGTTCTTGATTACTTGGGAAAATCTAGCCGATTAATATCATGGTATTATATCATGTTAGCTTTCTGTATTCCCATAAATAGACCAAACACAGGACACTTACGATTTAGGTTGCACATCACTGTCCTGTTCATTGGTTCCATGAATTTCTTGTTACTCCTTGCTAACAAAATTACTTTTGTGTAAGCACTCTGCTTTACGTCTTTTTTTCTCAGAAGTTTAATTTGTAAATATTGGAAAAATGTTAAACTTTAATCATTGTCGGTATTTTAGTAGGAATCGAATCTACATAAATTTATGTTACTGGAGTTGATTTGTACTTATAGTTCAGCATTTTTTTCATACAAAGTAATAATTAAAATGTTTCATACAAGATATTCTACAGGTAAATTACTAGTTAAATTCAGCGAACCTATGAGTCGAAAAAAATGCGAATTACGTGTAATCGGCATAAAATATTATGCGATATCACATTGTTCACTGAAGGGGTATCACCAGTGACGAAAGATATTGCTGCCGTAACACCGTCTTAGAGGTTTCTGTGACAGAAAGTCTGAATTTCATTGTCACTGCCATGACGACAGCATTTAGTGCCATTATCTAACATAGAGATATAACATCCATGATAAGTTTGTATGTATCAGTTTTCGAAATTGGATTGTCTATGGTCATGACCTCGAAAGTTTTAATTTTTTGGCTCTTGATTTGTCACTTTGATTTTTGACTCTGGAAAACCTAAACAATGAAGGTTTGTGATTAATTTTCCTTCTGTAATTGTCACAAGAATAATATACTCATAATATTCAACTGTTTGATTCTTGGACTTCTTAGTTTTTTCATTGTTGGTTTGGGTTGCAAAGCTGTGGAAAATTTGCATTACAATAACAATAACTTAATCTGGGATAACAATAAGTTACACCTAGCAAACCAGTTTATAGGAAATATCAACAAATATTACAAATCTTTCAGAATTTATTAGTGATATCATCAGTTAAGCCGATGCGTTCATAATAGAAATAGAGAAGTGTATTTTTGTGCATAAGGAAATGTTTATTGGTAGCAAAGCCATGAATTATAATGTAAGAGTAGGAGCGTCTTATGGAACTTGAACTGCGATGAATAACTGAATGACTAGAAATAATGTTGAGAAACCGGTGTACAAATTACGTTGTATTATCTTCATTCTTCGTAATCCTTTTAAGTAAATCTCTAAACAATACAGACCACTAAACGACGGATAAAGGTGTTTGATTATCATATTTCTAACTAACGTTGCTGAACATCACATATGAAACACAGCTGGTGAGCAATATCTGTGATGTTATTTTGCCACAAAATGTGTAATTTACAATTGCCCAAGTATAGGGGACTTGTTTTTGTAATTTATCACTGGGACATCACATAAATAAAACTTTGAGTCAGCACTCTGATATGTGAAATTTATTGACAACACGTTTATTTGTTACTTTCAACTTTGAGCAGATAATTATATTAGGTAAAAGCAATTCGAAACTAGTGCACCAGTAAATTTATTTTATATTGGTTCATTGTATTTATTGAACGAGTGAGTATAAAAGTGGGAGGTTACAATCA